ATATTTCAAAGACAGGTTATTCTACTAATTGATGAAATTTATGTTAAACCACAGTTAACATATCAAAGAGGAACATTTTTGGTAAATCTCTAAATTCCCCATATGAGTTTGGGTTTAATGATTTGTTTTTTATTTGGTGGAAAACAGATTTTGTATAAAGCATTACCAGTAACAGGTTTAGATGCTAATTTTCAATACGATCAAACAGTACAAACAATTAAAGCGATAAAAAAATGTGGTGGTTCTGTTGTTGCTATTCTTTGCGACAATAATAAAATTAATAAAATATTTTTGGAATGTTCTATCTCCGAAATACTTGGTGACTTTGTTCATTTAATAAAATCTATTTGAAACAACTGGCTCACAGAAAAATTCCAAGAACCATGCTTTACTTACAAAGGTATTTCAAGAGCTGCAAAATGGTCAGATCTTGAAAAACTTTTTCTATTTGAAAAAGATGCTATTGTGAAACTGTATAAACTTTATGAAACAGCAGTTTTTCCTAAACCAATTGAATGTCAAAATGTGTCAACTTGTTTAAGAGTATTTTGTGATGAGACTGTAGCTGCTATAAAAACTCATCCATCCATAAAAAATGTTAAAGACATCACAATGTTTTTATCTATTTTCATAATTTTTTTTAAATTGTTAATGTTAAAGGACTTTATGAAGATATTTGTACTGGAGATAAATATCGTGCTGTTTTTTCATCAAACAATGATAAACGATTAAACTTTCTTTTAAATTTGGCTGATATGATCGAAAAAATGGCTCCTGAAAAACAAGGTCATAGACTTAAAAATTTACCCAAAGATACTTCTTGTGCTTTTTCCCATACATGTCGTGGGATGGTTGAACTAGTAAAATATTTACTAACTACAAGTCATAAGTATGTTTGCATTTACTAGTGACCCTATTGAGAAAGCATTTGGAAAACTTCGGCAAGGATCAGGTGGTACCTATTTTATAAATGTTCAGCAATCATTACAAAAAGTTGACATTAAAAAAACAAAACTTTGTCTAAATATTGGTATCACTGCTAATGATTTAGAAGTATCATCAAGCTATTTGTGTGACAAATGTAATTATGTGTTGCAAGATCATATTTTGTTCAATGTGTTTCATATCTTCCAGTTATTAAAAGCAATTTGTCTAAAGAAATTAAAATGTCTTTGGTTTACATAGCTGACTATGTCAATAAGAAAGATCCTTCAGTTGAAGATACATGATTTTGTTTTGAGCAGTTTGGAGATTATGTCAGAGAGATTAATCGCGATGGTTTAAGTTTTTTTTTTTTTTTTTTTTTTTTTAATTATCTTCGCTTCCAACAAGGCTGCAAGCAACCACTAATTAATGTTGGAAGTTACTGGAAGAGAAAAGATGAAGATTGTAGAGCAAGATAACGATTGACAGACGACTTAAAAGATTGCAAATTGAATATGAATAAGGAAAGCAAGATGAAGGAAGAAAATTCCGAAGAACTGATGTTCGAGGAAAAAAACTAGACGAATAAGAGTTTTTGGATCACTTAGGAACAGTAACAGAAAAAGGATGAGACTTAATTGAATGACGAGTAAAACGAGAATGAATTTTAGTAGATGGCACAAGAGACGCTAGCTCTTTCGAGCAGTGCCCATTATCGTATTTGTAGAAAAGAGAAAGAGAAGCAACATTACGACGATGTGACAGAGGTTGAAGGTTGGCTGCAAAAGCAGGTCCAACTATGTTTACAATGCGTTTTTGCACCTTGTCTAAAAGAGAAAGGGCATCATTAGAAGATCCGCCCCAGATATGGCAACAGTATTCCATACAAGGCCGGATTTGAGATTTATAGAGATAGAGAATAGAATCCAGAGTAAGAAAGTGACGAGCTCGATAAAGAGAAGCAACTTTAGCAGATGCTAATTTTGCAACGGATTTGATATAAGGTTTCCAAGAAAGATCAGAAGTAAGAGTTAATCCAAGAAGATGAAGGTTAGGAGACTCATCGAGTACATTACCGTTTATAAATATAGGAAACTATTGCGATAAGGATTGGCTGAAAAAAATTGAGTTTTATCTGAATTAGTTTGCCTGAAATAACATTTGCCATTGGATATTTTATTCATACATTTTATTTCATCATCTTTACACTTTTGTCTGTCGTGTTAGCTTATTTAACTGTTTTTTGATGGTATCTGACTTTAATGGATTTACCAATGTTTCAAAAAGACATTGTAGAACCCTTATCAATATATTTTTTAACAACTATTGCGATCTCTATACCCCATGATCTTCAAAGGAACCCACGATGAAAATTTTGAAGTTATCTTAAATGTAGAATATATATATATATATATATATATATATATATATATATATATATATATATATATATGAATATATATATATATATATATATATACACACATTTTTATTTATTTCAGTACAGTATATATATATATATATATATATATATATATATATATATATATATATATAATATATATATATATATATATATATATATATATATATATATATATATATATATATATATATATATATATATATATATATATATATACTGTAGAGTACAAGTAAAAAGTGTGTTTTGATATTCCTTTGCAGTAGATAAAAAAAACGAAATAGGAAAGTCCTTTAGAGTTAAACTAAGAAGCAAATCAAGATGAATGTTCTAAGAGATGTCATAGTAATGAAAAGTAAGCAGTTAGAGGAAGCAGTTGAGGGGTGCCAAATAAACAATAAACGTGGTTGGGCTGCAATTAATTCAGGAAGGTTTCCACTAATTAAAGATCTTAGAACTATTAACAAACGAATTAATAGTGTCATTTTAACTGGAAATGAGAAAGAATATTGATCAATTTTTACAAAAGATGAAGAATTGTTAGTCTGTTATATATATATAGTATATGTGTATATAAATATGTACACGTAATTGAGAAATCAAACATTTTTTTAATAAACTGTTATAATCTGTAATTTTCATTTTTCCATTTCAAAATCCTGGTTTTCATATTGTTCATAAAGAAAACTAAACTCACACATTGTTTAGTGTTCTTGTATTATTATTTTAATAATTTATTTAGGTGCCTCCAAGGTTTAAACAAGTCGGAGGTATAATATTTTCATTGAAGCAAATTAATTAGAAACAGAGGTATGGCAAGGAGATATAGATACTACTAGAATTGTTAATCTTGATGAACCCCCTCCCCCCAGTTTATAAACTATGGAGTTGATGGTAATCCAATGGTTTAGTGTATGCTGGAGAGGGGAAAATTGCCAAAAAATGATAACAGAAAATAGAGAATGCGTAACTATACATCCTTTTGTTTCCTTTGGAGGAGATATAGCAATGTGCCACATCATATTCAAGGGAAAAGGGATTAGTGCCCACATGGCTCCAAAAGAAGCAGTTATATGAAATACAAACCTTCTAGTCTCCACAAATGAGAGTGGAAGTCAGGATCACAGTACACTTTTAAGTGCTTATCAAATGTTTGAGCACTTTTTAGAAAAGAACAATATAAAAGGCTTGTTGTTGTCCTATCTGATAGTTACTTTTCAAGATTTGATAGTGATGTATTGACATTTTTAAGAAGGAAAAATATTAGACATTTTATCACTCCACCTGACACAACTGGCGTTACCGTGATTGTAAGAAAATTGAATTTATTCTGCGCACGCTTCTTTTTAGCACTGTTTTTGGAGTTTTAAAGCAACATTTTTGATAAGGTTCTGCAAACTTATTATTATTAATATTATTATTATTTTCTTTATAAATAAATACACTTGGTATTTCTAGAGGATTAAAAAGACCTGCAAAAGAGTTTATTGAGTCGATTAAGGATGTAGAAGTTCAGCTTACATGAATTTGCTTAAGAACATTTTATAATGTAACACTTTGATTTTAATGTAACAGTTTGAGTGAGGGTTTAGTGGCTTTTTGAGTTGGGCTTAATGGCCAACTTTTCAACAAGCAATCTATTTACTTTTTCTTGCAATGTGATAAAGTGTTATCAACATGCAAGAGACTTCTGGATTTGTTCAAAAACCCACATAATGTTGACTATTGTGACAGAAAGAAATGATCCAAGCATTGACCCTTAAGAAACTCTATTAATTAAAATTTATTTTTAGCTGCAAGGAGCCCAACTATATAAGAGATTTGATTGAATGCTTTTTAAAATTTAACACTAGTACATCAAACAAAACCACCTGAAAATAAAAGTTTGTTTAAGAGTCAAATAACACCATTAGCAGAGTTTTAGTTGTTTAGTTAATGATAAGAACCAGGCACACAGGGTCGATAATGCTGAAGGAGCCAAAGGGCATGCGCCCCCACTTTGTTTCTAAATAACCTTAGTAATTAATAAAATTAACTAATAACAGAATCCAACAACTGAAAGATTTTCTCGACAAAATATAAGTTTTTCCAAATTTTCTGGATGGATTCTGTTTCTTTCGTTTGAGAAAATATCTCCAGCTGTAGAAAACAGTCTTTCAACATCTGTTGATGTTGGAGGTGGTGAATGAAATTGCGGTTGAAACCAAAATTTTTAATAATACTGAAACTGGAACAGGAACCAAAAAATCTTGTCATTGTTGTGGCCGGAACTGGAACTGAATCAAATATCGCTTGATCACTAGCTGTTAAGCAGTGAGGTATGACATCATTCTTAAATCCGAATAAATGAGGTTTTTCCATTCAGATGAAAACTTATGTTGAGCAAAACTTAGATTAGAGATTAGAGTTAATAAAGCTGCCAAAACATAAATAAAAAGATTTTTAGAAAGAGAAAAAAATGGATAAAAAACAAATCATTTAAAACATAGCATCATTTATGAACATTATGTTTTTTTGTTTTTTAAAATCAAAACTTCTTATCATAATTAATAAAAACTAAAATGCTACAAAACAATACTATCATTGGTATTATGCATGCATATCAAACCAAAACCAATCAAATCTACAATTTTTATTTACAAATGTTTTTTACCGGAATTTTGTCTTGTTCTAAGATACCATTTTTAACAAATGTATGAACAGCATCAACAGTAATAAACTTTGACATCAATTTGCAAACCCAAGATGGATTAATAAAAACAATATCTCTTAAATCTTCATTTGCACTATCAAAATGAAGAATAGTGCCTAAAAAAAGTTGAATAAACTTTAAAAATGATAAAAAAAAAGTCGAATATTTTTCTATTTGATTTTTAATCTAATCTTAAATTGATCTGTGTTTGTGTCTCTCTACATTCCCGATATATATTCTATTAATTGATTTATTAGTTGTATTTCTATTTGTACTTGTAAAAATAATTTTAAAAAAATTATTTTTACAATTAATTAATTAAATAATGGTTTCTATAATTTAAATTTTATTAAATAGAAATAGAAATTAATTCCAATGTTAGTTTATATGCAACAAAAAAAATTTGCTTTATTTTATCTTTTATCTTTATATTATCTTTATCTTTAATATTCCTACATAAAGACTCATAGGTGTGGAAAAACAACTATTAGTTTTTGTTAAGAGTACTTTAGAGAAAAATTTCTATAAAAAATGTCAACCAGATAGAGATAAATTATTTGACATAACCAGGGTGTTACCCAGGAAAAAATTTCATACAGCGTTTTTGCGAAATTGGGAACTTAGGTGCAGCTAAAAAAAAAAAAAAAAAGTTCCTTACATTCTGCAATTAAATTTTAATGAAAATAAACTTTCTATTTTTGCTGGGAGTTACATTTACAGCAGGATTATTTTTCCACTTATATATGTTTAATTTTAATTAATCAACTTGTTTTATTATAAACAATCTTCTAAAGTTTTTATTTAAATCGCTTCTTTTCTTTGTTTTTGATATACTGCAGCCATTTTTCAAAATGCCTTAATTACGTATTTCGAGAAAAGCGCAATTAAAAATTTTTTTTTTTTTTTTTTTTACTATGTTCTTATAAACCTTTGGGAATTTTAAACCAATTGGGAATACCGCTTTATACGCGGTGCCATCAGGCTGGGTAACACCCTGATAACTAGGACCCATGGCCCATTTTCTGTATTTTCTTTTAAATGAATCTTAATGTGAGAGAGTCACTGATTTCTACAATAACAATTAATAATAATAATAAGTTATTATAGAGATCATTATGGAGAAGGTTTAAAAAATTAATTTATAAAAAATTTAACAATATAAACAATGTTTCAAAAAGCACTCGGAGAAGCGCTAAGCAACTGTCATCTATGTTAAAGATACTTTTGCTATGTAAAAAATATTGAAATTAGTATTGTAATTTTAACCAAAAGCCAAAAATTTTAAATCAATTAAATTTCTGCTATTTGCTATAATTTATTAAATTAAAGAGGATAAATTAAGAACAAGTTTAGATAAAATTGAGTGTTAAACATAGTTACTATGACCTGTATTATATGGGTCCTGACAGCTGTTTGTAAAATATAATAATGTTTTGTAATTTTATTTTTTACAAAAGATGCATCAATATTTTTATTACTAGCTGAGATCGGACCCATAAAAATACGGGTCTTTGTATGTCTATTCCAAACCGAACTTTTTAACACTTTTTCCTTATATATCCTAGCTTTTCAAATCCGTAAAATACGGGTCTTTACCAAACCTACTATTTCTAAACATACCTATTCCACACCGATTATTTCTATATCTATTCCTTATTTACTTCAATACTTTTAAGTAAAATAATTTTGTTCTGAAAAACTACTTTAAGAGCAAAAAAATAAATAAACTATAAAACGCTGTGGAATCGTCCACAAATTATGCAACGCTAAATTTATTTTTCAAAAAGTATAAGAGATCTTCAGTTCTTTCTGAAATTTAAAGTTGAGTAATTTATGGACGATCCCAAAAAGTATATAAAGCCAAAAAAAAATAGAACGAAGCCAAAAAGTAAATAAAGCCAAAAAATAATAGAGTATAATACTATTTTAATGGTTATCTAAATTGTGTTGTCATTGCGCACTCGGTTTTGTATGTTTAATGTGAATTAATAGCTGTATAACTCTAAATTTCCTTAATATATCTATAATATATTAAATAATAATAATTATATATAAATATAAAAGTTAAACTTTAACTTTTTAAAAGTAATCAGTTTAATAAAATGGAAATTTAAATATTAAATTAGAATTTTTTTAATTATGTTTTTATAAAAAATATACTTTTTTAACCCCCGTACTGTTTTGAAAAACTTAAGGTCGCTGCATGGCAAGTTCAAATCATCAGCTTGCTTTATTTTTAATTTTTGTTGTTGTGACCCGTAAAATATGGGTCTTGCAAATGTATTCCAAACCAACCTTTTCTATACTAAATCTATACCTCAATATATTTGAGTGAGAAGTAGGAAAATAACTATAAAAAAACTATACTCATTGTTTTCATTTTTGAGCTATAAAAAAAAATCTATCGTAAATAATTTAAAAAAATATGAGATGATTTAAATATGTGGAACAACGGACTAACCATGAGCAGTTGATGAGACTTACCATGAGCAACCCTAACCCTAACCCTATTAGGATTCATGCCGTTTTAATTTTAAAGAAAAAAGCTTTGTAAAAAATTCTCTTCCTTATTATAGTATATAATACCTTGATATATGTCATGCATATATTTATAGGCCTTTAAAAATGTTTTATTTTATATTCTAGAAAATTAGAAAATATTTTTAAAAAATTAAGTGTAAACAAAAGGATTTGAACCCATGTGAAGCACTTTAACCACTTTGGCATGTTTTAAAGGAATAAAAAATAATCTGCATTGTATTAATGATTAAATGGAAATCACTTTATTGATACATAATAACAAAACAAAATATATAAAGAAATGTATGTTTACAAAAAAAATTCAACTAAATGTGCATTATCAATAAAGGATTGGTAGATTAACCATTATTTGGTTTAATTGGTAGAATAACCAACTACATAAAAACTAATTATAGACGCAGCGCTTTTTGTATCTACTACTCACTCTCCTCCTTAACATATGTATATATATTTTTTTTTTTTTTTTTTTTTTTTTAACATCTTCACTTCCAACAAGGCTGCAAGCAACCACTATAAGAGTTGGAAGTTACTGGAAGAGAGAAGACTAAATCTGTAGAGCAAGATAACGATTGACTGATGACTTAAAAGATTGCAAATTATATGAATCTGGAAAGCAAGATGAAGGAAGCGAATTCCAAAGAACTGATGTTCGAGGAAAAAAACTAGAAGAATAAGAGTTTTTGAAGCACTTAGGAACAGTCACAGAAAAAGGATGAGACTTAATTGAATGGCGAGTAACACGAGAATGAATTTTAGTAGATGGCACAAGGGACGCTAGCTCTTTAGAGCAGTGCCCATTATAGTATTTGTAGAAAAGAGAAAGAGAAGCAACATTACGACAATGTGACAAAGGTTGGAGATTGGCTGCCAGAGCAGGTCCAACTATGTTTACAATTCGTTTTTGCACCTTGTCTAAATGAGAAAGAGCATCATTAGAAGATCCGCCCCAGATGTGGCAACAGTATTCCATACAGGGACGGATTTGAGATTTATAGAGATAGAGAATAGAATCTGGAGTAAGAAAGTGTCGAGCTCGATAAAGAGATGCAACCTTAGCAGATGCTAATTTTGCAATGGATTTGATATACGGTTTAAAAGAAAGATCAGAAGTAAGAGTTAATCCTAGAAGATGAATGGTAGATGACTCATCTAGTACATTACCATTCATAAATATAGGAAGATCTAAATTATTACGATAACGATTGGCCGAATAAAATTGAGTTTTATCTGAATTAAAGTTCACCAGCCACTGTGAGCCCCATGCTGTAGCAGAAGTGAGATCCTTTTCAAGCTCAGATACCCCCTCCAAGCAATCAGAGAGTGTAGGCTTCTTATCATGACAAGAGTAAATGGTAGTGTCGTCAGCGAATAATGCCACCTTAGATGTGAGAATATCTGGAAGATCGTTAATGTAAATTAAAAAGAGTATAGGGCCAAGGATTGAACCTTGAGGAACCCCTGAAGTTACAGGATGTGAAGAAGAGTGTTGTCCATCGAGGACAACTTTTATACTACGATTGGAAAGAAAGGACTCAATAATCTTAAAGACGTTACCAGCTACACCATAAGAAGAAAGCTTATGGAGAAGACCAGCATGCCAAACTTTATCAAAAGCTTTAGAAATGTCAAGTGCGATAGCCTTAACCTCTCCACCTCTATCTAATGCACGGTAAAACCTATCGGTTATTACTGTTAGTACATCGGCTGTAGAACGAGAAGACCGAAATCCATATTGATGATCAGAAAGTAAGTTATTTGATTCAAGATGAGAGATTAAGTGTTTGTTGATTAAAGATTCAAAAACCTTGCTTATGACAGGAAGAAGACTAATGGGACGGTAGTTAGATGAATCAGATCGCTCTCCGGAATTTTTGAAAATAGGGATAACAGATGCTGCTTTCCAGCATGATGGAAAACAAGACTCTGATAAGCACTTGTTAAATAGTTTAGAAAGTATGGATGAAAGCTCCGGAGAACACCTCTGCAAGACTACAACAGGAATGTTGTCAGGACCACAAGCTGTTGAAGAGTCTAAGCAGGAAATTACTTTAGATACAGAAGCTGAAGTGATGCGAATGTCAAGCAAGGGAGTATATATATAAAAAGGTGGGGGATGCTTTTTCCCTAAATTTGAACCCACACTATGCAGGGAATGTGGCCCTCTATTCGTTCTGCAAAATGCTAAAAAAACATTGTAAGATGTCTAAAATTAAACAAAATTAAATTAAATAATGACATGAAAAAAGCTGAGATCGGCCATAAAAATACAGGTCTTTATATATCTATTCCAAACCAAACTTTTCTATACTTTTTCCTTATATATTCTAGCTTTCCGGATCCGTAAAATACAGGTCTTTACCAATTTACATATCTATTTCTAGCCGAAAATTTCTATACCTATTCTTTATTTACTGCAATATTTTTTAGTAAAATAATTTATTCTGAAAAAAAATTTAAGAGCAAATAACTAAACATGCGCACCTTTTCTGCAAACGTAGTGCTTATAAGATACTTATAATTAGCTTTGTTTTTCTGCTAAATGCATTTCATTGATAGCTCAGTGATTAAACGCGCT